GTGAAAAATCAAGGTATATCAATTCTTATTATTGCCATGTATGTTGATGATTTGTTATTTCTCGGTAATGATGAGATAATGATTGAAGAATTTAGAAATGACATGATGAGAAGATATGAAATGAGTGACATGGGTTTGTTAAATGATTTTCTTGGAATTGAAATCTATCAAGTTGAAGATGGAGTATTTATTTCTCAAAAGAAATATGCTTAAAATATTTTAATGAAATTTGGCATGAGTGGTTGTAAGCCCATGGCCACACCACTAGTTGTGAATGAAAAACTTACAAAGGAAGATGGAGAGAAAAAAGTCGATGGGTCGTTGTATAGAAGCTTGGTTAGAAATTTGTTGTATCTTTCAGCTATAAGGCTGGATATAATGTATGCTGCAAGTTTGCTTTCTAGATTTATGAATAATCCCAGCCAAAATCATCTTAGTGCTACAAACAAGTTTTGAGATATATTTGAGGCACAACCAGCTATGGTATCAAGTATTGCAAAGATTTAACTGTGAAATTGTTTGGTTTTTGTGATAGTGATTGGGGTGGTTGCACTGATGATATGAAAAGCACCTCCAGGTATGCATTTTCGTTAGGTTCTGGAGTATTTTCTTGGGCATCAAAGAAGCAACAGAGTGTGGCACAATCATCTGCAGATGCTGAATATGTTTCAGTAGGTTTGGCAACTTCCCAAGCAATTTGGTTGAGGAGAATACTTGAAGATGTTTGCGAAAAGCAAAAAGATGGTACAAATTTTTTTTTGTGACAACAAATCAGCCATTGCCATGGCTAAGAATCCTATTTTTCACAGTCGCACTCGTCATATTGCAATTAATCATTTTATTTGGGAAGCAATTGAAGAAGGTGAAGTGCAGCTCAAATTTTGCAGGTCAGATGAACAAATTGCGAATATATTCACTAAAGCTCTTCCCAAAGAAAAGTTCCAACATTTCAGAGAGTTACTTGGAGTTATAGAGCAGCAAATTAGGGGGGAGCAATGTTGATGTAATGTACTTGTTTAATTTTGTATCCAAATAATGACTTATACTTATTTAATTCTAGTTATGGAGGAAATTAGAGTTAATGTATGTGAAGGAAATTTGTCCAGATGTTTTATTGGTATTTGGGTTGATATAATTTCATATAAAAAGCTTGTAAGGGAAGCTAAAAAGGCAATAGAAAAATCTGAAAAGGGGGCTGTTCAACTGAGACCCCTTTTCTCCCCTGTTTTGCTCTTCTTCTTCTTCTCTATTTTCTGCAGAAAAAAAATCAGATCTGATTTTGTATGTTTCAGATTGATTTCTTTGTAGTTTAAACACACACTTGCTTCCAAAACACCCAACAAAAGTTCTATAAAATATGGGGTTTTCAAATCCACATGTAAGATGAGAATGTAGAGATGCTATAATTCTTGATTTACTTGATATATTGTGCAAAATAACAAAGTTTAGATCACTTCGGAAAACCTTTCATAACTTTCAAACATCATGCACCCCTTATGAGTGGTAGGTCTAAACCGGAATTCTAAACCTATTTCTAAGATTAAAGCAATTTGACATCCTGATTATTTTTTTATTTTTTTATTTTTTGATAAATAATTTGAGATACTGATTATCATGAGCATTGGCAGGTAGTGTGATATATTTGCCTTGTCACGGTTGTTTGTTGCTGTTGAGCTATTAGTCCACCATCCATATATTGTGTTCTCTTGAGTAATTTGCAGTTATACGATTGTTTACTGGTTTGTCCACTGTTTTACCTGGTTAATTTCCAGGCACTCTCAAACAAATCAGCATTCCAGAGACATAAGCAGTGGTTGCAACATGCAAAAACACGCAGTGCCAAACACAAAATTATGAAAGTGGGTTTTTCTGTGGTCTAGAATTTTGGATGGTGCTTTAGATATCCTTTGTCTCTGCTCTATTAATCCAAGGTTCATGTTGTGTTCAGTGTTTGAGAGAGCAACTGAGACAGTCAATGAAGAGGATAGTGAAGCAGAAGAGCACTCAGATTATTCTAAAGGAAACAAATACACCTGGGAGAATATCCTCAAGAATGTTATGGAAATGTCATCTTCAAAGATAAATGGCAAAGATATTTTCCAACTCCAACATGGTAGCATCCAGGTCCCCAAGGTCAATGGGAAACATAACAAGAATATGCAGGATATGGATTTGAAGGCCAAAGGAGAGATGTTATCGCAGGGAAATGGTGCTGCTAAGATGATACTCGCTAATATTCCCACATTCAAGGAAGTTTTGCCTGGTCTGCAGAGCTGGCATGCTGGCAAGGTTGCATCTTGGCACAACTTTGAAGGGCACTCTATCCAGTGGTTCTGTGTATTATGTATGGATTGAAGAGGTATTTCTTTTGTCCCTTTTAATAACAAATTTTTTCTTAGTCGTCTAACATTTGGTACTAAACATCATTGCAGGTTTTTAGCAGTTACATAAAACTATCGCACAACACTCCTTATGCAGTAATCCATTTCATTCAGTTTTCTTTAATTCTATCTTCATTTTTATTTCTAGTTTTGTAATGCTCCATATTCTATATTTCTACTTAACCTAAACCCTTTAAATTCTAAAGTATCACTCCACAATTCTAGCTTAAAGTTTACAAACCATGTAATCTCCCTACATTGTCATTAATCCATTCAAATACTTCCATAATTGTCATTTATTATATAGATTTATCATATCTATCACTACTTCTCCCTACATGGCCATTATGATCCACTGCCTATTTAAGCACTATCGTTTACTAGATTATCACATTATGCCATTTTACATCTAGATAGCTGTGTGGATACACAGTAGTTTTATCTACTAATTGTAATCCAGATTCAAGTACATAAATGATATCACAGTAGTATTGGCCGACGTAGGTGTTACGATATGTGCTTGTGCGGTAAGTAGTTGAAATAGATAAATAAATAATTAAAAACAATGTGGCTGTACTTGTTTATTACTGCCACTGGGGAGCTTCTCCGTGCAGTGTCCATGACAAACCCTATTTTCTTGGCAGGCAGAGATGGATAGAGGAAGACGTATAGAAGTCATGTTATTTTCTTATGTCCACTCTGTTTTTTATTGGAAAGTTGTTGCCTTATCCTTCAGGTTAGTGCTTGTTCACGGTTGGATCTAATCTTTGGTGTTTTGGGATGGTCCGCGGGATGCAGCTGGCCTAGCTTGATTGAAAACCAACAGTTTCTCGAATGCTAATCATTTAGTGCATTTGGCAACTGAGTCAGTCAATAACCCTGCTAGTGGAGGCTTGGGTTGAAGTTTTGTTGTCTGAAAAATACATACATCTGGGCTTGAATTAGATTTTTAGCAACTAGTTCCATTAAGTTTCTCAACTATTTTGTTGGGAAACTAATGAAATAAATAAGCAGCCCAATTTGAGCAAGTCTCTGGAGTGAGGGAGGGGATTGTATACAGAGAGATGAGCAAAGAGTGAAGTATACATGTAAAGATACTTGCAAGAAGATAAGATTAAAGCATTTTTATCCAAAAGAGGTTTACATACTTATCAGCATGTACGATCTTTCTGTCTTTTTTCTTTGGATAAATTACATCAACCTCAGTTACAGTTTGAAGAAATGACATTGGGCCTCACAAATTTTGTCATAATTACACTAGAACCATAAAGTTTTTAATTCATGTAAGGTTAGCAATTTTTCATCCGTAGATAGATTAATGATGTTATCTCATTTTACACTAGAATATATATTTTACTCTTATTTATTCATGTCTACGTACTATTTGCATTAGTTCTACGCAATTTAGTATTACTAAAAGGGAAGTAGGTGTAATTATGTCAAACTTCTTGGCTTGTAAGGGCTCATTTGAGAATTGGTTGTTTTAGTTGGTTTTTTAATTTTTTACGAAAAGATATGCAGAAGAGTAGATAGAGTGATGTGATAATTTATATTGACTTTTTGACTATTTTAACCTATTGGCAAACAAGGCCTAAACCTCATGTGTGGCCATTGTAATTTACCCTTTTTTTTCTTTATTCTAAATGAGAAGGCGAAAGTGGTGTTTCTTTGTAATGGGTTGAATAAAGAAACTAGGAAGCAATGGTGTAACCACAGGACATGCTTGTGCACCATGCCCAATATCAGGGCAACAAATATTTTCAATGGTAGTAAAAGGGCTAGAGAAAGTTCGGTGGTAGTTGTGCTTAAGTTTGTCAAGTAGGCAAGACTTGTGCTTAAATTTGTCAAGTAGGCCAGACTTTTCCTTCCCAAGATAGGGCAGAACCACAAAAAAATAAAATAAAATAAAAAAATGACAAGTTTTAGGTAGCTATTAAAATAACTATTAAGTTTGTAAAGTGCAGTCTGTGCTTGTGATAAAGGACCAAGGGTGAAAGCTTGGTGTTTGGTTTGCAAATGAATCTATTTGAATGCAATGGAAGATTTGAAACGTAAATTGCAGCTTTATAAAGCCATCAATTTATGTGAATGAAACTACTGCATTTGAGTTATGCTCCCCTAATATGGTAGGGTGCCAACCTCCATCCTGATGTATAATCTTATTGTTTAGTCGTCATTGAGTATCAAATCAATAGGGTTAAATTCTTGATTTATCTTTACGCTTTTTTTTTTTTTTTAAAATTTTTTAATATCTTTTTATGCCTTACCACATTCTAAGTTATTGCTTACATTGCGTGGTCTGAGAAGGATACAATCTTACTCGTATGTGGAGAAAGAGCGATGCATAAATAAATATGAATATATACATGTCCCAAAATTTAAGCAAGCACTGAAATATGGATAATTATTCAATAATCGTGGTATTCTATAGTATTGTGATTGGTGGAGAGGGTAGGTAGGTGGGCTATTGTATTGGGTGATTGGGGAACATGAGGAGATATATTGAATGATGATTGATTAAGGAGTACAGACACGTGGTATTCTGGGAATATTGAATAATTTCACCTGAAATATGAGCCGATACTAAGCAATTTATGATACCAGCATGGAAAGTAGAAACATTTGAAATTATTACCATCCCTTTATTCTAAACACTACAACTAAGTTATGGTAGTTTTTCAAACTTGGGACAGAATCACAACTAAGAAGATTATGAGACAAAGCTTCACAATATTGGCAGGTAAAAGTAGCAGTGGCATCACCAGTAGCAGCGGCACCAACAGCACCAACGATGGCCATATCCAAATTCTCGTGTTTGATGAGTCTGTTGATAGTTTAATACTCGCCAGAAGCTCCTTTATACCCCCTTGCTTGCTGTCACGATTGATTTTCCTGTTTCTTCATTGTTATGGTGGCCATTGACATAAATATTACCCTCATCTGTGATACTATTGCTGTGGCAACTGTGGTCTTCTGTTTCGTCAATCTAGTCATCTAATGTCTTGTTAATGATCTTCAAGTCTTTGAATTCAAGTGATAATTCCTGTATTGACTCTGCCGGCCAAATTGGCTCAGCATTGGTTCCATGGACGAGTCTACTGTTCCGTCTGAGCTCTCTTCACCTTTCTCTACAATTTCTTCCTCGTCCTCATCCTCATTAACATCCATTTCATCATCATCTTCATCCTCATCCTCATCTTCGCTCAGTACTGTCACTTGTGGCTCTTCTTCGCTCAGTACTGTCACTTGTGGCTCAGTACCGTCTCAATTGCTTCATCTTTTTCTACAGCAATTCCTCCATCATCATTTCTTGTACTTCTTCAATATCAATTGCATCTTTGGGTTGTACTCTGATCCCCCTTTCTCAATAACAATTTCAATCAATTGGGTATGTCTATTGTCCACTTCCTCAATCTGACCCACATGAGGTGCCTCAACTGCCTTGTCCTCCCATATAACTTCAGAGATTATCGAGTCGCCTTCCATGGCAAACTGGTTCACTAAATCAGTCTCAACTACTACTTCACTAATCTCTATAGTATTTTCTACATCGTAATGGTCTTCCACTTCTCCTTCTCCCCCTTTCTCAATCAATTCCATTGGCGGGTTATCTTCTTCCACATCCACTGTGTCCCCTATATGCTCATTTTTGTTCATGTTTCTGGATTTGAGAAGCGAAGGTCCGTCCAACACTGGTGATGAGTACTCTTGCATATTGACACCATAATCAGTGATCAAGAGACTGTTTTTTGGCTTTGAATTATCAGATAAAAGAATTTCCAAATAGGTGGGGCTCTTGGTTGGGCCACTAATATCAAGCACTGAGTTGTCATCCTGAATCAAATACCACAGTATCAGCACTCAAATTCATTGAAGGAGATTGATTCTTTAGGGTCTAGTAAATTTGTTTAACCACATTCAAGGATTCTTGATCATTTAGAGAATTAGGATTAAAAAAATAAAAGTATCAATGGTCTAGAAATTTAAGAAACTAATTACCATGATGGAAGTTTTTGTGAAGTCTGACGATGTGGAATCAATCTGGGTAACAGGCATTTCTGTTGTTCCATCAGTACTGCAATTGAAAAAATGAACAATACAACACAATTTCAATTTGATACATTCCCAATACATTCCCAAATGAAAAGACTAAATGTTTAGGCTCAAACCTTGGATGGTAATCTATAGGTGAAGAATAATCTTGAAGAAGAACATGAAGGCCTTTTCCTTGATCATCATCATTGTTTTTCTTCTTCTTCAATTCCAACTTGTTTAGTAGATCAGCAATGGGTTCAGCTTCAGACTGATGAACTTGTTGGTTTTGGTGGTGGTGGTGGTGGATTGTGGCTTTTGTTTGTGTCTTTTCCTCAATCTGAAACCGATAAGAATGTTGCAACCGCCACTACTCCACCCCACAAAACAACTCCACCACCACCACCACCACCACCGCCGCCACCGCCTACTCAGATCGCCAGCTTATGCTTTTCTTGCTTCTTGGGTTTCTTCATATTCTCTACTGTTTTATTGATCTCCAATTTCTCTGGGTCTCTTGAAGGTTTGGGATTTGGTGCGCTTGTCAATGCATTTTTTGTTTTTGTTTATGTTCCGTTAATGCACAGAGAGAGAGGGAGAGAGAGAGAGAGAGAGAGAGGGGATTTGACTTGTAAACAGTGTGAGTGTGGATCGGTCTCGGAGGTTGAAGCGGAAATCTCGTGTTAGTCTTTTGATTTTGTTTGTTTTTGTTTACTTCTACCACCAAACTCGCGTTCCATGCCAGAGGGGTGTGTGTGTCTGTGTGGCTGTGGTATACACGCGTATGTACACAATCAAAGATTCTGTTTAATTGTCCCCCCTGTGGAACCCTTTTTATATGCTGATAACCCCATTTTGGACTCTTCCTTAATATTTAAAAAAAATTAAAATAGATACACCTTGGTGGATCTTTATCCAGCAATCCAAATGGCAATACAACTTTGACACCATATCTACCACCGAAAAAATAAAATAAAGGTAAATTACATTTATGCCCATGTAATAACATTTTATACTGAGCTACATTGCTGTTAGTTAATCTATTTGAACAACTAATCAAATCTACTACATATGACACCTGCATGTGATAAGTGATGGTTGCAGCAAAACTAGGTGTGCCATGCACCATTAGTGTCTAGTAACAGGCAATGATGTTACATCTTGATATAGTATAACTACCTTGAAATTTTTTTATGACAGGGAAAACATGATTGTCATATGTGGAAATTACCTTCAAGAGGAATGAGTTTAGCGCCAGATTTACAATAAATGAGTCCTTGAATGCCAGTGATGCAGGGTAGCAGCTTTCCTTGTGTCTTAGGTTTCTCAAGCTCTCGCTTTGGAGCCTACCCATAACCATTTGTCTTGGGTTTATCAAGTTGTGGCATTGGGACAAACTCATAACCACCCGTCTTTGGTTTCTCAAGCTTTGGTTTTGGAGCATACCTTGTATATGTAGTAGGTTTCTTAAGCTTTGGCACTGGCTTTGGGGAGGCATACCCCATCATAGGTTTCTCAACCTTCAGCTTTGGGACATAAGGAATTGTCTTAGGTTTTGGATCATACATTGTCTCATGTTTTTCAAGATCTAGTTTTGAGATATAAGCAGTGGTCTTAGGTTTTTCAACCTTTGGTTTTTGGGTATACCCTAAGTTAGGTTTCTCAAGGTTTGGGATTGGACGATAACCAGGGGTCTTAATTAAGTTTCTTAGACTCTGATTTTGGAGAGTACCCTAAGTTAGGTTTCTCAGTTTGAACTATAACCAGTGATCTTAGGTTTCTCGAACTCTAGTTTTGGAGCATAACCTAAGTTAGGCTTCTCAAGTTTAGGGTTCAGACTATAATCAGTGATCTTAGGTTTCTCAAACTCTGGCTTTGGGGCATAACCTAAGTAAGGGTTTGGATTATAACTAGTGATGTCACAACCCAAACCTGCCCCCATAGGTTTCGCGTCGTAACTAGCCAGTAATCTTGGGATTACCAAAGGCCTCTGACCTGAAAATCATATAAATAGAGGGGCTATAGAAGCAAATATACAAAATACAACGCTCGTCGAGCTATGCAGACAAACATGCGATAAATAATTTAAAACTTTATACATACATATGACAACAAAAAATCATAAGTTATGCAACACCGTATAGGTATCACCAAAAGGGACTAAGCCCAATGTACATTTAGTCAAACGAAACAAAGCAAAACATTCTTAACATGATTCACAAAACTCGACTTTTCAAATAGGAACCTCCCCGGGAGACACGGTGGCTGGCTGACAAAATAAAACTCTCCAAGCAGCAGCTTAGGTCTAGTCACGCATCTGCTCACCTAGAAACGTAATATAAATAGTGAGTGGAAGCCCAGTGAATAATAACAAAATAAAGGTTTTAATGAATGATGTCCGTAACAGAAACATAGTCTTGTACATAATCAGATGTCAAAGCAGAAACAGATTCATATACATAATCATATTCGTAACCAAAGTTCATACATTTCACACGACAGTACGTGGTACATTCATTAGCGTTAACAAATCCGATGACCTATAAAGGGACAGTCGTGAAGGCATTCCGATGACTCATGTGCACAGAGACGTTTTCAATGACCCATAAAGGGACGGCTATAAAGGCATTCCGATGACCCATAAAGGGACACATATCATATAATAGTAAAGATGTCACGAATACATTTCAGAAACTTGAACAATCATTCATTCAAACAAAACGTAGCATTTCAGTAAACTGATCATTTCATATCATCAGAAATAATTAAAGTTAAACATAACTTTACAAAGTTATTACTCACAGATGGCTCCAAAGCATACAAACAGAGCAAACAAATTAGATAACTTGCGACGCGTGACCTATACAGACACAGAACGAATATGTACTGAATTACACACCCGAAATCATTAACTTAATTCTTTCTTGTCTTGGTGTGTTTCTACTTCTTATCTCCGTTATTATGTCTTAACTATGGCCTAGGAATGCCTAGGATGTAATGGGGATGCCAAAATGCCTTTTGAAACACTTAACAAAATTTGCTGAAAATAGGGCCTTTTCTCGAGCGCAACTTCCTTTACTCGAGCGAAGACTCAAAGATGTAAGTGGTCGCTCGAGCGGTCTGTAAACTTCTATAAAAGTACTGGTTGTGTGAATTCTTCACTCGACGACCGCTTAACGATCGTTCGAGCATGAGACTGAGGTCTCCGCTCAAGTGCAACTCTTGTCGCTCGAGCGATCTATAAAAATTATAAACTTTTGGGAGCATGCATTTTACGCTCTAGCCAACTTTTGGTCGCTCGAGTGGAAGTGCAAAAAAAAATGTGGTCGCTCGAGCACAATTTTTGTCGCTCAAGCGGAGAGACAAAATCTAGAATTTTCAGATTGCTCTTCCAAGTTAAAAACTCCAATTCAAAGCTGCATATCATGGTCTTTTGGACCAAAAACTTGAGAAAACACTTGTAAATTGATAAACCATGGTGTATTCAAAATCATTTCGCACAATTAAGCCCAAAAGCTTTGTCAATCGTTCAAAACTCAAACTTGAAATTGTGAAAACATATCATTACACATCATGCACGTAAAAATGAAAGTACAAAGCTTTCAAAAAATGATCAAATGAGTGTTTAAAAAACATGTTGAATTCGTAGGACAAGGCCAAAATGAGGAAATGGAAAAGAAAATTCTTTGAATTCAACTTCAAAATCATGAGAATTATGTATGTATGCATGATACATTCCTCAAACCATTTATCTAAGCTTGGTTCTTGCATTACATAACTTAATTATTTGAATTCAAGTGTTAAGTGACTCAATTCCAAAGCTCAAAGGTTGAATTCTTACCTTAGATGGTCAATGATGCTCTAAATGATCAATTATTTGAGGTTCCAAGCCAAAACCCCTAAGTTCTCTAACAATCCCCTTAATTTGAACTCACTCTACTCTCTCTCTCTCTCTCTCCACGTTTGTTTGCTCTCAAGGATGATGATATGAAGGTGAAAAATGTATTCTAGAGGTTATAAGAGCCTTATATAGGTTCCATTAGTGGCTCTAATTAATTGACACTATTTATTCTAATTATTTGGTTACGTTTCAAATTTAAATTGAACCTACCATAAAATACCAAAAATTCTAAATAACACATAACCTAAGTCAATTTCATGATCGGATGCCGATAAGGCCTTCAATTAATAGAACAAATAAAAACACAAACAGATCTTTCTACAATAGATAGATAAAAACACCAATAATGCAACACACATGCAATTAATGTAGAATTTCTTCTTAATTACTTATTAGACATCTTTAATCATGGTTAACAGTTAATCATAGGTCGGGGTTGTTACAGTCTTTCTCCCCTTAAAGAGTTTGATCCTCCAAACTCGAATTACCTTCGTTTTGGTAGAATATTGGATCTAGAGGGAACAAATTAGGGTATCTTTGCATCATATCTTCTTCAGTCTCCCAAGTTGCATAAGTCTCTCTGTGGTTTTGCCAATCGACCTTCACCAGTGGTATTTCTTTGTTCCTCAATCTCTTAATTCTGCGGTTTACAATTTGAATTGGCATCTCTTCGTACGTATAGTCATCTTTTAGAAGCACATGAATCGACTTAATCACATGGATTGGATTTCGTAGATATTCCTGAAGCATTGAGACATGAAAAACATTATGTATATATTCCATGATCAGCGGTAAAGCTACTCAATATGTCACCGGATTGATTTTTTCAAGAATTTAACATATCTCAGCGCTAGCTTACCCTTTACACCAAGCTGCGTCTGGCCTTTCATAAGAGTTACTTTGATAAATACATGCGTCACGACCCAAACCCGCCCCTATAGATTTAGCGTCGTAACCGGCCAGTAATCATCGGATTACCAAAGGCCTCTTAGCAAATTAGCAAGTAATAAGGGGCTGCGGAAGCAACTAGACAAAATAAACAAAGTCCAATGAGCTGTGATGACGTACATGGGACAGAGTAAGTCAAATTTATTTATATTCATAAGCATGCTAGTCAAGGGACACCAATATTCACAAATATTTACAGACTGTAGTTTCCAGATCCTGACTTTACAAACAGACAGAGACTACCATAACTACAAAAACAGCCATGGCAATTGACTTCAACTGGAACCTCCTCGGGAGGCGTAACGGTTGGCTGACAAAACTGGGGTGTAGGCTATTAACCCTAGGCCTGGTCTCGTACTTGCTCACCTACATATATAATATAAGGAGTGAGCTAAAGCCCAGTGAAAAATAACAGAGTAAAGGGGTTTAATGAATGATGACCATATTAAATACAGAAATCAGAAATCAATCCCTTATCAGATCGGAAACATAATCATATTCGTATCAGAAAAGAATCACAGTCATATCCATATTCAAATCATGTGTGGTACATTCCCCTTAGCATAACATATCATGTTAGTCAAGCATAGTAAGTCCCATAATGGAACCTCCGGTACCGGGTAACATATCCGTGCCACGGTATTGTTTTTTCTGGGCGAGGGCCTGTGCCACGGTATTAACCCTCGGGCTAGGGCCTCATGACCATGTGCCTTAGTATTGTGTCCCCTAGGCGAGGGCCTCGGCTAAGGGTACCATGTTTACATTTCAAGGAAAATTGGACAATCATTCATTCATTTAAAACATAGCATTTCAGAACTTATCATCTCATGT